CCATATACAAGTCTGTGTCTTTTCCTGGGCAATGATTCAGCTTTGTGTTTTTCTTTTCTTTTTCTTTTCCCTAAAGTCCACTGAGGACGAGGGCTGGTGGGAGGGGGAACTGAACGGACGCAGGGGCTTTTTTCCTGATAACTTCGTCATGGTGATCCCAGCGGATGCTCTTCATGTGAGTGTGGGACAGAGAAATGTTCTCATGATTGGCCCATTTGTGCACTGTTAGAGAATGGGAGTCTCCCTTTTGTCAACACTGCTCTGGGCTGTTAGTAATGGGCTGGCTCAGAAAACCGATTTTAGTTCACAAATAGTTTAATTTGTTTTAAGATGGAACAGACTGGAGGTTATAAATCTGTTTTTAATACCTTATTATTATTATTATATTAAAAGAGATTGACTCTGAGGTTTCCATTAGAAGAGAGGAACACTAAAACGGTGACTGGATTCCTCCTACATGGAAAGAGTGTGAGCTTTATCTTGCTCAGAAGGACTAATCTATGTTTTGTTGACAATTTCTCGTTTCTGACGCAGACTGGAAATGCAGGCCAGCCACCGGTGAGACATGGCTCTCTGAAAAACGCAGGTAAGACATCAGCACCTGTCATAGTAGCAGGGCTGGTTCGACAAGTCTGTTTCTTCAGATTATACCAAACATAGCTGGAAATGTTAGAAATAGTATTAAAAGATTTTAGGGGGTGTGTGAGCTAGTTCGATAAGATGTAAAACATGTGGCACGTGTCAGGGCATCTTTAAAGTACTTGTTACTGTCAATTCAAAACTAAAGTTTGTAGGTTTTATTCTTGCATGGCGTGACCCATGGCCATTACTTAAAAAAAAAAAACTGCTTTTGCACTAAATTACTACTTTCTGTTTTGTGAAAGTAGTATATTTATCAATCTTTATTTTAGTATTCCATTTTTAGCAAGTTATACTCTAGCACAATTATGCTAACCTTGAAAAACTGCATTTTGTGATATAAAATTAGAATTTTTGTGCACTGCTTTGTGTCTTTATAAGAACTCGGATGTCCTCTTCAAATAAGTATATAGTTCATCAAAAGACATGAATAAATACCACATGAATAAATAACAGTTAAGCTGGAATTCATCATATGAAAGAGTGACTCTTATATGACTCTTTCAATAATGTTCTTGAAATCAGAAACACAACCTTTATTAGACATTAGACACTGCTAAGATTTATTTTTATCTTGAGGAAGTTTGTGCCATTTCTTTACTTACATAATGTATATTTATAATGTCTTTTATTATTATTATTTTCACATAATGCAAAAATAAAGACAATTGAATAGCTTAGTTTTTTTCCCTTTTATAAAGAATATAAACATTTTATGAACATTCTATTAACTTTATACAGTGCTCAACAGCCCTTATTATTAAACAATATTATATTTTTTCAATCAGCCTTACTTTTCTGAGGAATTAACAACTTTGCAGCATGTTCGTTTAATATTAGCTTATGTTTGGTAGTTCACTAAAATTCTCTGATGGAAACTACAAGCTGTAAAATACAGTTTCTGCACCTGTTATTGACAACTGTCATTTCTAGGACAGGAAGTAGGCGTTTTGCTCATATGTTTTGTTTTGCACTCAAGCATGAGACTCTATTTCCCCTCAGGCTGATCATATTTTGTTTACTGCGGAATGTAATCTGTAACAGTATTAAAGTGGCGTTAAAGGCCTGGAAATGTGGTGCAAGAATCTCTGTTCATTACTTAAGTTTTAAATCTGACTTCACACACATCACATTCATTACCACAAACCGCTCTAAGAAACACTGATGCAGCAGTGTGGGGCTGTGACAGGAAGTCGTAGGCCATGAAGAGATGTCATGTGAGCAGACTCTAGAGAAAGGCAAGGGCAAAGTGGAGCACCCCTGTGCTCTCTATATATAAACGCTTTCATATGAATTATAGGGTTGTATTGTTGGAATGCTGAAAAACTCACGGGGTATGTATAGACTCTGTTTATTCTTCAGTATTTTCAGTTCTTGGATTTTCATGTTCTCTACATGCTAGATGTGTTTGCAGTTGATGTCGTTTGTCGCTTGACTGCATGGAATTAGGAACGTCTCAGAATGTGGTTTTTAATAGGTTTTTATTTTTTTGAAGATTTGCTTTTAAAAGAAAAGATCTTGTCATAGTAGTCCTGATGGTAGATGAAACAATGTTCTGTATGAGAGAGAGGATGTTTACTCAAAATAATTACATGTGATATTTATGGCTTTGCTAAGATCTTTGATTTTATCTTAGATTGTGACTTTAATGTCTTGTTTGATTTTGACTCCACAAGAGTAATTCTGAATGAGCACAGAGATCTGACCTTTTTTTTTTGTTCTTCAAGACAGTTTAATGACTGTTAATACTTGAACCCATTTGGATTTATTAAGGGAACCCATGATATTTTTTTGTGTAGCCACAGGAAACAGCAGCTCATTTGCTCATTTGTCAGGGAAAGTTGCCTGTTCCCATGCCACTGAGACCTCCAGCATGTAACCCGTGTAGTTGTGAGAATGCTTCAAAGTGATGTTTATTTTGTGCTGTTATTCTAAAAGTGTGTAAAGGGCAAATTATGAAAAAGAATGGCAGCAAAAATTGCTTCAAGGGTGCAGGCTGGCCTCCTCTGGTGTTCTTTGGACAAGACATAACAGTCCAAAAAGAAGCAAAATTGATAAGGGTGTGAAAATGACAGCATGACTTTACATTACCTTGCTTATTACATGTTTACTTAAATAATTACTTAAACCAATAGTTCACCCAAAAATGTTGTCATCATTTGCTCACCCTCATGTCGTTTCAAAACCTGCATACATTTTTTTCTTATGTTGAACAACACAAAAGAAGATATTTTGAAGAACCAAACAGTCCCCTTTGACTTCCATAGTAGGGAAAGAAATATTCTGAAAGTCAATGGGGACCATCAACTGTTTGATTACCAGCATTCTTCAGAATATCTTCTTTTACGTTCAACATAAGAAAGAAACTCGTACAGGTTTGGAAGAACATGACAATGGAACGAAATGATGACAAAAGGTTCATTTTTGGGTGAACTATCGCTTTAACAAATAAGTAAATAAATGCACATGAAATTGATTTGAGTTGAAATTATGCTTCCATTTTATGGTTCTGTTATTCTTTATGCTACCAAAAGATCATTCAAAGTCTGTTATGCTCATACTGCTAATATTACAATAAAAAAGTTTTCTATTTTAATATATTTTAAATTGTAATACTACATTTTCTTATTATAATCAATATTGAAAATAGTCGTTCTGCTTATTATTTTTGTGGAAACTGTGATAAATCTTTGATGAATAGAAAGTTCTAAAGAACAGCATTTATTCGAAAATGAAATGTTAGTAACATTATAAATATATTTACTGTCAATTTAATGCATCCTTACTGAAAGTATTTATTTCTTTCAAAAAAAAAAATCTTACTGACCTCAGATTGTTTTGAGTGGTAATTAAATGAAACGAAAAGGGCATAGAGTGATCTCATATGTGTATTCTAACTGATTACCTCCTCATTTGGTTGTTTATACCCCATATACAAGTCTGTGTCTTTTCCTGGGCAATGATTCAGCTTTGTGTTTTTCTTTTCTTTTTCTTTTCCCTAAAGTCCACTGAGGACGAGGGCTGGTGGGAGGGGGAACTGAACGGACGCAGGGGCTTTTTTCCTGATAACTTCGTCATGGTGATCCCAGCGGATGCTCTTCATGTGAGTGTGGGACAGAGAAATGTTCTCATGATTGGCCCATTTGTGCACTGTTAGAGAATGGGAGTCTCCCTTTTGTCAACACTGCTCTGGGCTGTTAGTAATGGGCTGGCTCAGAAAACCGATTTTAGTTCACAAATAGTTTAATTTGTTTTAAGATGGAACAGACTGGAGGTTATAAATCTGTTTTTAATACCTTATTATTATTATTATATTAAAAGAGATTGACTCTGAGGTTTCCATTAGAAGAGAGGAACACTAAAACGGTGACTGGATTCCTCCTACATGGAAAGAGTGTGAGCTTTATCTTGCTCAGAAGGACTAATCTATGTTTTGTTGACAATTTCTCGTTTCTGACGCAGACTGGAAATGCAGGCCAGCCACCGGTGAGACATGGCTCTCTGAAAAACGCAGGTAAGACATCAGCACCTGTCATAGTAGCAGGGCTGGTTCGACAAGTCTGTTTCTTCAGATTATACCAAACATAGCTGGAAATGTTAGAAATAGTATTAAAAGATTTTAGGGGGTGTGTGAGCTAGTTCGATAAGATGTAAAACATGTGGCACGTGTCAGGGCATCTTTAAAGTACTTGTTACTGTCAATTCAAAACTAAAGTTTGTAGGTTTTATTCTTGCATGGCGTGACCCATGGCCATTACTTAAAAAAAAAAAACTGCTTTTGCACTAAATTACTACTTTCTGTTTTGTGAAAGTAGTATATTTATCAATCTTTATTTTAGTATTCCATTTTTAGCAAGTTATACTCTAGCACAATTATGCTAACCTTGAAAAACTGCATTTTGTGATATAAAATTAGAATTTTTGTGCACTGCTTTGTGTCTTTATAAGAACTCGGATGTCCTCTTCAAATAAGTATATAGTTCATCAAAAGACATGAATAAATACCACATGAATAAATAACAGTTAAGCTGGAATTCATCATATGAAAGAGTGACTCTTATATGACTCTTTCAATAATGTTCTTGAAATCAGAAACACAACCTTTATTAGACATTAGACACTGCTAAGATTTATTTTTATCTAGAGGAAGTTTGTGCCATTTCTTTACTTACATAATGTATATTTATAATGTCTTTTATTATTATTATTTTCACATAATGCAAAAATAAAGACAATTGAATAGCTTAGTTTTTTTCCCTTTTATAAAGAATATAAACATTTTATGAACATTCTATTAACTTTATACAGTGCTCAACAGCCCTTATTATTAAACAATATTATATTTTTTCAATCAGCCTTACTTTTCTGAGGAATTAACAACTTTGCAGCATGTTCGTTTAATATTAGCTTATGTTTGGTAGTTCACTAAAATTCTCTGATGGAAACTACAAGCTGTAAAATACAGTTTCTGCACCTGTTATTGACAACTGTCATTTCTAGGACAGGAAGTAGGCGTTTTGCTCATATGTTTTGTTTTGCACTCAAGCATGAGACTCTATTTCCCCTCAGGCTGATCATATTTTGTTTACTGCGGAATGTAATCTGTAACAGTATTAAAGTGGCGTTAAAGGCCTGGAAATGTGGTGCAAGAATCTCTGTTCATTACTTAAGTTTTAAATCTGACTTCACACACATCACATTCATTACCACAAACCGCTCTAAGAAACACTGATGCAGCAGTGTGGGGCTGTGACAGGAAGTCGTAGGCCATGAAGAGATGTCATGTGAGCAGACTCTAGAGAAAGGCAAGGGCAAAGTGGAGCACCCCTGTGCTCTCTATATATAAACGCTTTCATATGAATTATAGGGTTGTATTGTTGGAATGCTGAAAAACTCACGGGGTATGTATAGACTCTGTTTATTCTTCAGTATTTTCAGTTCTTGGATTTTCATGTTCTCTACATGCTAGATGTGTTTGCAGTTGATGTCGTTTGTCGCTTGACTGCATGGAATTAGGAACGTCTCAGAATGTGGTTTTTAATAGGTTTTTATTTTTTTGAAGATTTGCTTTTAAAAGAAAAGATCTTGTCATAGTAGTCCTGATGGTAGATGAAACAATGTTCTGTATGAGAGAGAGGATGTTTACTCAAAATAATTACATGTGATATTTATGGCTTTGCTAAGATCTTTGATTTTATCTTAGATTGTGACTTTAATGTCTTGTTTGATTTTGACTCCACAAGAGTAATTCTGAATGAGCACAGAGATCTGACCTTTTTTTTTTGTTCTTCAAGACAGTTTAATGACTGTTAATACTTGAACCCATTTGGATTTATTAAGGGAACCCATGATATTTTTTTGTGTAGCCACAGGAAACAGCAGCTCATTTGCTCATTTGTCAGGGAAAGTTGCCTGTTCCCATGCCACTGAGACCTCCAGCATGTAACCCGTGTAGTTGTGAGAATGCTTCAAAGTGATGTTTATTTTGTGCTGTTATTCTAAAAGTGTGTAAAGGGCAAATTATGAAAAAGAATGGCAGCAAAAATTGCTTCAAGGGTGCAGGCTGGCCTCCTCTGGTGTTCTTTGGACAAGACATAACAGTCCAAAAAGAAGCAAAATTGATAAGGGTGAAGAATTTTGTAAGATATGTAGAAAAAACAACAACAAATGGATAGAGCCACCACTGTCAGATCAAACGTCATAATACTGACTGCAAAATCTTGTATCTTCTTATATCTCAGTGAACCAGATGCCAGTGATGGACCAGAAAAGCTCTGACACGAACACAAAGACGGAAACTAAATGTAATAATTCTGAACACACCTGTAAATATTCTTGCTTAAGTGTAACATCCTATCTTGATAATTGAATTATATAGTAAATGCACATCTACATTTTTTATTAAATGTTTAAATTACACATGTACAAAATGTATTACTTCAGTAGATATTTGAGCTCATTTAAAAGCACTGCTGTCTGAAGAATTTGCCTATTATGATAATATTTATCTTTTGTCTTTGCACTCTCTCCTCTTTGCTCAGGTGACAAACCGGACACTAAAGACTTTCGAAGTGACCCACCTGGTAAAATTAAGTTGCCCGGTCTGCACAAACCACCCGTTCCACCACCACCAGTGAAGGAGAAGCCCATAAAACTAGTACCAAAGTAAGTGACGCCTCAGCAAATCATCTTTGAGCATACAACCTTCTGTGATGCTTTTCATCCCAAGTAATGCCAAAAATAGAAGGAATCTGAAACAGAAGTTTTTCACTATTTCACCAGATAAATGAAATCATGAATTTCCTTTCATCGGTTAGATTTATTATGCTAAAGGGACTGAATTCCCCCTCATTAGATGATAATTTAGCATTGTGTGTTATTCTAAAGGGCCTGTGAATGGTCAGTCTTGTAGAGAGCAATGGAAATTTTATGAGTTGCTGAGGGACTAAATCAACCAAACTGCCTGTTTCCTGTTTTTCTGAGTGAGACTGTGTCTTCAGGCAGAGCGTACAGAAAGAACTGTCATTCTGACTGAAATGCATGCACAAACTAAGACATTACAGCCAATTAACAGTTCATCTTATATTTTCCACAACAAATCAAAGTGGTGCATTGTTTGAAAAAAGCTCACGGCACTCTAAAACACATTAGACACCACGTTACGGATGCTGATGTTTATTTTGATTTCAGTGCAGAGAACGAAGCTATTAAATTGAAACTACGTTGAAAATCTGTGGCTCATGCTTGCTTTGTATTTGTGTGTTTTACGTACTCAGAAGATTCTGAAATGTATTTTAATGTGTTTTATGCGTGTAACATGCATAATGCCTATTTCCCCCTCTTAGAAATGAAGAGCCACAACCTGTCTCACCTAAACAACAGCCCCCAGCTTCGCCAGTACAGAAGGAGGTTAAAGAGAAGACCCCTGACCAGTTTGACGGTGTAGATGTGTCCTCAGAGAAACTGAGCCATCCCACAGCCAACAGAGCCAAACCTCCACAGAGAAGACCACCAACAGCCCTCACCTCTGACGCACAAGTGAGCCTAACACACTCATACACGTGTCAGGATTTGAGTTGATTGGAGGATTGGTTGATTTGAAGTTGATTTCAGTTTAATACTCGAAATTAGTCAAAATACTTAATCACACTTGAGGTGTGCCACACAAGCCAAATCATGCCAAGGGTGGTGCATGAAGAATGATGATAAAAATTAAGAAATTAAAAATTAGGGCTGTCAATCAATTAAAATAATTAATCATGATTATATATAACAAATATAAAGATGTAGTCAAGTTAGTTTTCAAATGAATTCTAATGTCTTGACAAATAATGCAATTGACATCTGTTTTTCATAAAGGTTCCTGCTGAAATTGACCACAATGAAACTTCAGAAGAGAAAGATGGATTACCACAAAATATTCCAGAGGTTTGGATAACTCTTTATAATAACTTTCATTCATAATATTATTAAATTATATAATGCTTCACAGATCAGATCAGCTCATGTGCCTTCAAATATATATATAAAAAAACATGATTCATACACAATATATATATTGATATTTGAAAGTACATGAACTATTGATCTGTTAAGCATGATATCATGTTTTAAGGACCTATTAATGAAAGTTGTTTTAAAGTGTTACCAAAGGTTGGAAACGTATTGATATTACATTATGAAATTATATTTGTCTATAAAACATCTCTTTACACGTCTGGTATATACTATCAAAAGTTTGAAGTCGGTAAGATTTTTGATGTTTTTGAAAGAAGTTCTCTTATGCTCACCAAGGCTGCATTTAATTGATGTAAATACACAGAAATATTATTACAATTTAACATAACATTTCTAATTTATTGTATTTTCTGCTCAAGAAACATTTATTTAAGCACACTAGTGCTGCTTAATATTTTTGTAGAAACCATGATACATTTATTTCAGGATTCAATGAATAGAAAGTTCAAACTAACAGCATTTTCTTTGAAATCTTTTGTAGCAATGTAGAAGTCTTAATTTACACTTATCAGTAGTGTACATGTAAAGCATTTGTTACATTTTGTTATCTTGTCCTGGGAGTTACATCTCTTTTCACCCCTCAGTTGCTCAGCTGCTGGTATTTTTCTCGCAGGGTACAGAACCTCAGTCATCACCTTCCACCAAGACAGAGCAGGTAGCTAAAACCACGTCACCACCCAAGACACTGCCTGAAAGCAAAGCTGTGGCTCAGGAGGAGAGCACTTCACTGGCCTCTGTGCTGACCGAGCTCAAAGATATCCGCATGTCACTGGACCTCCTCAAAGCACAGCACGAGTGAGTATGAACCCCTAACTACCACACCTGAATGATCATATCACACATTTCTCTTATTGCAATATCCCTCTTTAATAACCAGGAGAGACATAAAGGATCTTAAAGATGAACTGAAGGATGAGACAGAAAAACGAATGAGATTACAGGTAAATTGTGAGATTTGAGTCTATTCTGTGGGGATTATTACGTGCAGATTATAAAGTATCGCTTTATTATATGTGCAATGATATGCATCTAAAACAAACTTGTAGAGTTCGCATAAATACTATATTAAAAATGACTACACAAATCACATATTTATGGCTTTTCTTACTCAAAAGACTCGAAGTAGTGTAATAGAATTAGGGCAAAGTTTATTTCAATTGCTTGAGCAACAAAGAAAGAAGAGGAAAAATACAAAAAAGAAAAAATATAAGTAAATTGCAGTGATTTGTTTTTTGCATCACAGTTTCTCATTCAGTTATATACAGTTAAATCCTGTATTCCAAATTAAATCTAGTTGCCAGTGGCGCATGAAAAAAAACGTGATAATTACCGTCTTCATCCTCAAGAGAGCAGCTATGAGTTAAAAATACAACTTGTTTGAACTCCAAACATCTGAATCGCATAACAGTTGTCATAAAGTTTAAAATAGCCAAATATCTGGCAGTGTTAAACTTAAAAAATGTACTTTTAACAATATAATTTCTTAACTGATGGAGTTATTTATTTATGTACCTCAGAATAATGTCAGCCAGCTTGATTTTACACTGTAGAATTAAAATATAGTCTCCCCTTAATGCCAAGTAGAACTAATATTTTGATATTTATAGGATGAGGTGGAGGCTCTGAGGAAAAAACAGTGAACATTGAACACCAGTATTTCACTACACCCCGTGGTCCTTCTCTGGGACATGGACATAAAGGCTACAGAACAACGATGTTGGGGGAATGGAAATCCAGCACATGTGACTGATTGATTGATTGATGAATTCCTGGTTGAGTGGACCAGAAGCCAGAGCTTAAATCAGAGAGCAGAACTACAAAAGACTTCTGGTTTTCTCATATACTGCTTATCAGCTCATTTGGTTGTGGGAGTCCTCGGCATTCATTTCTTAAGACATATGTGCATTTTGAAATGTGTAAATATCAGACATCCAATATCTTATATTTTCATGGAAATTTGGGGATAATGTAAGGCCATATTTAAAGGTATTAACACACTTTCTATAATTAATATATTTCTGTTTTGTGGTTGTATTCTGTTAACAAATAAATCAATAAATAGTTCCACTTGTTTTTGCTCCAAGCCTGATTTACCCAGAGATGTTCTGATAAACATGTGCTGGCATCTTTTTTTAATGCATAAATGTTTCGTCTGTGTTAAGATAATGAAACAAGATGGCTTTATTTTTGTAAGTGAAATATATCAATGATGTACAAATACAGAATTGGTATCACCTTTATGAACGTAGCATATTAAAATATGAATTTTCTTTTCATAACCCCTATAATCTGATTGAAGAGAATCTTATGAAATGACACAAAACAATCCGATTGGTTCCAGATCATTTGTGATGAATTATAACACAGCAAATGCTGTTTAAAAGCTCTTTGCTTGTCAAAAAACTGAATCTGAAAGTCCATTTTCCCTTTGTGAAGATGTGATGTGAGACTGGTGCGGATTTAGTTTCCCTTTAAACTGAAAACAGCATCTGGAAAGCATGTGGAACACATTAGCTCCTCATAGTCTGACTAATCATTGGGAAATATGTTTGTAGGTTGAATTACAGTACCATCAATCAAAACAAATTTGTGACTTTTTGTTTTTAGTATGGTTCTATACATATTAGGTGTCCTATGAGCAGTTCTCAAGTTTGAGATTGAGTTTATGAGCAGTTATCAAGTTTACAAGTTTAGTTAAACAGTGAGGAAAGTTGTTTCATTAGAAAATTCTAACATTCTGTCCCATGCAAACACTTTTTATTGGTACACTTTGGTTTAATTGTTTGGGTTTCAGCATTTTCAATTTCAATGTAAAGCTCAATAATATTTAAATTAAACACACATCTTGCCATTATCTCTTCACATCATTCCACATTCCATGGGATTCCCAGAAGGAATTTTTTTAACTAGAAATAAAACAATGCAATAACATCAGTTTGGTGAGCAAATATTTAAGTTAAAGGGGTCATATGATGCGATTTCAATTTTTCCTTTCTCTTTGGAGTGTTACAAACTCTTGGTGCATAAAGAAGATCTGTAAAGTTGCAAAGACTAAAGTCTCAAATCCAAAGAGATATTCTTTATAAAAGTTAAGAGTCAGCCACACCCTCCTAAAACGCCTCGTTCTAACACACCCCCACATATCTACATCACTATGTGGGAAGATTTGCACAGCGTTCACGCAAAGAAAAATGTTCACGCAAAGAAAGAAGGCTTAACTTTTATTCTCACTGTAGTTTTGTTGTTTCCGCCCCCATGTCATGAAGGCGCTGTGTGCTTCGTTGTGAAAGTGAAACTACTTTGTTTGGTCTTCCAAAAGAGGACGATATCTGCTTCGTCATGCCTGGAGCTGATCCGTGCTGGTTACTGAGGAAATACTACAACTTTGCGCTGTCGATCGCCGGATCGGCTTTCACCGTGGACGAAGCAGAGTCCAGCCCGCCGTTCTCAAGCCCACCCGCCTCTGCTCACTCTAACCCTCCGGCCATTCCTCACGCTAGCCCCCAGCCTCTGCTCACTGTAGGCCGCCACATGTGACGCTGTTTCTTTGTTGAAAGCGAACGAGACTAGAAATCAGTGGTTAAAAAGGATTTGCCACTGATGATTCAAACGCGAGTTTTGGGCAGTGTAGAGTAGGGCTTGTTGTTTGTCATTTCTCCGATCACAAATGCAGACAAATGCAGTTTTATGTTTACGCAGCGCGATGCAACGCGTAAAAAGACAGTATAAGTCATTATAATCCATAATTATGTCCCCACTGGATGCAACGAATGCCTCATTTATAATGGGTTTTAATGTTTTTGAATCATCGCTCCGGCTGGACAGGGCATCATCACAATATGGTAGGGGCGTAACATTTCTGTCACACGCTTGAGGTATTCGGCCAATCATAACGCACTGGATAGCTGGCCAATCACAGCACACCTCGCTTTTTCAGACCGATGAGCTTTCTAAAAATCGACACGTTTCAGAAAGGCGGGGCATAGAGGAGAAACAATAATGTACAGTATGTGGAAAATAATGTTTTTTGAACCTTAAACCGCATAAACACATTTCATTACACCAAATACACAAAATACTGTTCTTTTTAGCAGCATCATATGCCCCCTTTAAATATGACAATTTTTTTTTTTTTTGTATAGCCATAAACAGATTATTGTAAATGACCGATGGCGTAGCCAAAACAACCATGAAATTTATTGTAAAATATATAAAGATCTGACTAATTTGGTATTTGTTATTGATATATTATGATGGCTCTGTGGGTTTTATCATAGATGATTGGCAAATCAACCCTTGATTGTTTTAAACTGCATCTGCTGATTGGTATAACCATGTTACTCGGGACTCAGAGCAGGACCCATGTTGAGCAGGATGTTTTTTGGCTTTATTTAGGAATGCACAATATATATTGGAACCATATCAGTAATGAGTTGTTATTAGACATTTTTTAAATGTATCAATACTGGGCAATATTGGATTTTTCTGCTCATTTCAAAATCCACTTTTTTAATTTTGCATTTTACCATAATCCAACTCACAAAATGAATCTTAAAATAATATTGCAAGTAAGTGAAGTAAGTTTCGTATCATACATTTTAATGTTGTGATGCCTGTTTCACATTGTAGCATTAAAAACAATTGAATTTAGCTTTTTAAAATGTATTTAGACAAATTAGTATAAATCATGAAAATAATTCTCTAATCTGCACCGAATTTTAATTTCTGTTCTCTTCATTTCTGTTCAAAAGTTTGGGATCAGCAAGATTTTGAATGTTTTTTAAAGAAGTATCATTTGCTCAGCAAGGCTGCATTTATTTGATCAAAAATAGAGGGAAAAAAACTTAATATCGTGAAATATTATTACAATTTAAAACAACAGTTTTCTATTTTATTATACTTTAAAATATAATTTATTCCTGTGACGCAAAGCTGAATTTTCATCATCCATTACTCCAGTCTTCAGTGTCACATGATCCTTCAGAAATCATTCTGATTTATTATCAATGTTGTAATCAGATGTGCTGCTTAATATTTATTTTATTGGAACTTGTGATACTTTTTTAGGATTCTTTGATAAATAAAAAGTTAAAAAGAACAGCATGTTCAAAATGGAAATCTTTTCTAACAATATGTCTTTCCTATCACTTTTTATCAATTTAACACATCCTTACTGAATAAAAGCATTAGTTTCTTTAAATTCTTAAAAAAACAAAAACGAATCCCAAACTTTTGAACAGCAGTGTATATTGCCATGTAGCTTTATAATCTATGAGTTACTGCATGATTTGACAGAGGACTTAAAAATAGTACAAAAATATCAAGAAAAAAAAATCTACACACAAATAGCATGGTGCAAAAGTGCATTTGCTTTCAGTGAGCTTCTAATAATCACCTACAATATACAAATACTTTTTAAACATCAATTCAGACGTCAAAGTCTAAAATGATTTTTTTTAATAAGCACCATGACTTAGGGACTGATAGCAACGTGCCCGGTTCAAATGTTGCATACAGAACAGCTGTACCCGTGGTCTGTAGGATTACAATAACGTCAGTATGAAAAAAAATTACAAACGCTGTCCATTAACAGTCTTTCAAAGTACTGCACTCAG